CCAATATTAACCTCCTACATGGGTCATCCATGAAATATTGCATACATCTATTAAAGCCTAGTATGACCCATGTAGGAGTTCAGCTTTAGGAGTTATACGGCTTAATAATGTCCTTCATTCAGGAAAGCTGAAGGTTTATGGGAAGCAGTTCAACTGTGTTTCACTCTCATATAAACCAGGAATAAATGATCCAGTAACATCTCTCTTCTCAACTACTGCCACTGTAAGCTGTGATGATTGAACACAAACTGCATGTCATGATCAATGTGAAGATATGATGTTAATGTCCTACAGGTGATGTGTGTGAACATTCATCTTCTGCAGCTCCAGTCTCTTCAACAACACTGACTCCAGTCAGCAGATCAAACTCTGAGAAGACATCAAGCAGAACTACAGCAACAGCTCCTACACAAGGTTCATGATCACATGACCACTGGCACACATCATCACTCTCGCTTCAGTGGTTTGATCACACCACAGTAAAATCAGCCGGATAATTCCATCAATTCAGTATTGAAACCTCAAAGGATATATTGTGTTCATGCATTAAAATATGACATATTTCTATTTCCATCTTGTTTTCTAATAGTTGTGACTTCAACTACATCTACTACAGTAACAGCACGTCCCACAGGAACTGCTGGATTATTATACAGAGGTACGACACGTTGATTTAGACCGACAGCTTTCTAACATTACACTATCAGTCCGTCTGTAAATGCTTCATCAATAACTGTTGATAGATGAAGACCCTTGACTTCAGTCATGTCCAGTTTCTCTTCTTCCTCTCATGTTTCCTGCAGTGATTGTGAGTATTGTTGAGATGGCAGTGTTTGCTGCTCCTACTGTGATTCTTCTTCAGATCATCTGTGCAAGAAGAGCTGGTGAGTTTGAGCCGCACACACTCTGAAGATTCACACTCGTCTGATCTGAACATCTGCAATCATGATAAACACACACGAGAGGTCAGGCAATGCTTTTATTTTGCAGGGAGGAAGAACTCGAGACACCCGGAGGAAATAGAGATGCCTGCAATACAACAATAAAATACAGAGTTTTGAGCGAATCTGCAACAATAATTATGATTGTATGATTGTTTGATTTATTTTCTTCCTTCTTGATCATCCTAAAGAAATATTTGGTTCAAGCTTAGATTAAAATTTATTTTTATTTTTATAAAACGCCAGATTTATTTCCATTAATATGAGTTTTATGGACATTTGCGTGTAGTGATGAAAGTCATTTTCTTGTGTTTCATATGTAAACTGCTTTAAATATAACAATAAGTTGAGTAATGGACAGAGGCAGACTGTAATATCAATGATCTGTTCGGTGTGATGCAGCTGATTTGGTGATTGTTTTTCTTTTTGAATTATTTCTACTTATTTTCTTAATAAAACCTCTGCATTTGTGTTTAATATGTCTCCTTTCCTGAGGATGTCTTTTCCTTGTGATGAGCTCGTAATATATTGTAATATAGGAAACTAAGTGTGAGTATTAAACTATACTGGGGCATAAGGACCCACACAGAGCATTGGGTGAGCAGCGCCCCCTGCTGGCCTCACTCACAGCAGCCCTAGTTTCCCAGGAGTCTCCCATCCAGGTAATGACCAGACTCAACCCTGCTTAGCTTCAGTGGATGACCAGTCTTGAGTTACTGGGTGATCTAGCTGTGACTAACTTACACAGAGTAGACTTTGTTTCTCAGCACATAAAATCCCCAATGTTAAATCAACACTGAAAAGTGAGAATTATATCAACTCTGAGCAGAGTGGTAAATGAACATTGAAGCTGTGTTAAAGTTAATGGGATAATTCAGTGAAAATTTGAGTGATGATTGAACATTAACGAAAGACACCTGATGTTAACAAGCAGAATCACTGAAGGGGAAAATCGTCATTGGTATGTTACCATTATGGAGATCAGTGTTTGCTTTAGTTGGGCTCTTTACATTGTGTTTGGCTGCTGTACCTGAGTTATATCAGCTAGATGAACAAGAGAAAGGGTTATTTGACTGTGATTGCTGTGTTTATACATGTGTTGAAAAGCAGGTGTACACAATGTTTTAAACAGGTGAATCATGTAATCACACACAGATATCAAGATGTTAAATATGATTCACAACAATGGTGACAACCAAAACAAAAAAAGCTTGGGAATCAAGGATGTTTTGTACAATGCAAGCTACCCATCATGCATTGCAGCATGAAGCTTATTGTTTTATTGTCACCATTGTTGTGATTCATATGCTAAATCTTGATGTCTGTGTTACTATATGGTGATTTTTTTTTTAAAGAAAACATTGTGTAAACATGCTTTTTTTTCCACCTTGTGATCATTTTAGTGCTACTAGCCCAAATAATACAGTGCCACAAGATTAGTGGTTATAAATTCCAGATATAAACACAAAAGTCTAAACATTCTAAAGTCTAAATTTTACATTTTCTTGGCTTTCTCTGCCACAACAATGGTGTTTTAAAAACACGCAGTTACAACAGCTAAAGTAAGAAAAACTGGGACCAAGAGCCCAACTAGAGCAAACACTGATCACCACAATGGTGACTTAAAATGAAACAAATATCACCATCTAAACTAAAATTACATTGAAATAAACATGAGTTTTAATTGAATGCATCATGAGAGTGTTCATTTGGTCCAGAAAGAGTACAAAGTGTCTAAATGAGACCATAAATAATGTTGACCTGAAGACCCAGCTGGCTGAGGTGCCTGAGCACAAGGTCCCTGTGTTCGCATAGCCGAGAGTGTGCTAGTATGAGCCAGGGGGAACAAGGACCCCCTCTGTGACTTTCGTGAAGACGCGAGGGGACAGGGACAACCCGAAGGGTAAGACCTTGTACTGATATGCTTGACCCTTGAATGCAAAGCGCTGGAACGGCCTGTGTCGAAGAAGAATCGAGACATAAAAGTACGCGTCCTTCAGGTCGACCACTGCAAACCAATCTCGGGGACGGATGCAGATCCAAGATCGGTCGTAACCCACCACCTTTCTTGGTACAATGAAGTAGGGACTGTAGTGCCCTGACCTCATATCAGCTGGACCGGATCTATCACATCCTTCACCAGTAGGACTGCAATCTACGCACACAAGACATGGGCATCGCTCTCAGTGTAGTGGAGTCTCACTGTAGACTTGGGGGGACGCCGGGCGAACTAAATGGCATAGCCGAGCCTGATGGATTGAATGAGCCATTTGAGACGGACTGGGGAGCGCTAACCAGGCTCGCAGAGACCGTACACAAGCGGGACCAGGAACCGTAGGTGTACCCGGAGTGGGGCAGCGATGTGAAACACAGGGACTCACTCGGGAGGCAGCCCACAGCTGGGTCTGAGTGTGCTGTGGCGTTCTCGAACTGCACACTGCTGCCCGCTGGCGATAGAAGAGGCGAATGAGAGTGGTGAGGATTTTCTCCCCCCACTGCTCTTCAGACCCAGAGATGGTGGAAAGTTTCTAGAAACTGCTCTTTAATTGAGAATTTGGGCACCGCTGGTTTTAAAGGGTTAGTTCACCCAAAAATGAAAATTCTGTCAGTATTTACTCACCCTCATGTTGTTCCAACCCCGTAAGACCTTCGTTCATCTTCGGAACACAAATTAAGATATTTAAGATATTAAGATCGCTCCTATATACTAGTCCATAGGCTTCTTGAGGGAATGACACTTGCTGGCATTGAAAAGTTATTAAAGGACATCGTTAAAATAGTCCAAATGACTACAGTGGCTCAATATTAAGTTTATCAAACGACGAGAACATTTTTGTGCACAAAAACAACAAAAATAACAACTTTATTTCAACTATTCGTTTATTTCTCCCTCTGCGCGTGTCAGGTTACTAGTTTAATAGCGTAAGCTTCTGTTATTGTACGTCACACGCATCACACACACATGACCAGCGTCTGCCAATAGTAAGCCTTCGTGTGACGTAGCTCTACGCAATCACACTACGTCGTTAACTGACTACAGGCCCATGGAGAAGGAAGTGAATAGTTGAAATAAAGTCATTATTTTTGTTTATTTTTGCGCACAAAAAGTATTCTCGTCGTTTGATAAACTTAAGATTGAGCCCCTGTAGTCACTTGGACTATTTTAACAATGTCTTTAATGACTTTTCGATGCCAGCAAGTGTCATTCCCTCAAGAAGCCTATGGACTGTATGCAGGAGTGATCTTAATATCTTAAATATCTTAATTTGTGTTCCGAAGATGAATGAAGGTCTTACGGGGTTGGAACAACATGAGGGTGAGTAAATACTGACAGAATTTTCATTTTTGGATGAACTAACCCTTTAAGGCCAGCGCCAGAACAAACAAAATGAAACAAAGGATTTTCCACCCGGCCCTCTTCCGGAGGAGGGAGCGATGCAGTCATCGTCTCCTGGAGAGCAGTCCCTTCCATCTCTGGGTTGCCCGTCCTGGGGCTGCTTACCCCTGGCTTTGCCGCCCTTCTTGGCAGGGTCTGGACGGGCGCTCCTGGTGTGTGCCTGGCAAATCCGCCGTTATATTAGCAATCCGCCATCTCCCATCCAGGTAATGACCAGACTCAACCCTGCTTAGCTTCAGTGGATGACCAGTCTTGAGTTACTGGGTGATCTAGCTGTGACTAACTTACACAGAGTAGACTTTGTTTCTCAGCACATAAAATCCCCAATGTTAAATCAACACTGAAAAGTGTCAATTATATAAACTCTGAGCAGAGTGTTAAATGAACATTGAAGCTGTGTTAAAATTAATGGGATAATTAAGTGAATAATTGAGCATTATTGAAGACACCTGATGTTAACAAGCAGAATCACTGAAAGAGAAAATCTACAGAGAGGACAAAGTTATACTGGATAGTGTCTCTACATAGCAACGGATTTAAACACTAATAGTTGATGAGATCAGAGGAAGTTACCAACCACAGAAGGAGATGATGATGTTTAAAGGAAGAGCTGTAACTATATATAATGAAAAGGAGGATCTGTTACTATATCTAATGAAGAGAAAGACGGACAGAAGCAGAAATGTCTGATAATTGTGATCTGTGTCTGCTGGGACTGATCATTCTCTCTTCACTTCTCACAGGTAAATACATTAGTTTGTGGACATAGTGTCAATCATCTGATAATGCAGAATTATATTCATATTACAAGCGATTTGAACAGATAAAGACAAATAGTCTGCATTGAGTGAGGAAGAAGACTGAAGACATAAAAATGTACTATTTAATGTTATTTGTATTTATTCATTTTCGTAATAATTTCATAATGTCTTTTGTGAAGTCAGACGATGTACATGTGTGCTGAGCAGAGAGCTGGTAGAGTTATATTTTGCTTAAAGGTATGAGTAAAGTGTAATGTTCACTTATCAGAGATGTTCCAGTGATGAATACACTTCATCACTTCATCAAATGGATGTTTCAACTGATACAAATGTACCGTTTGTATACCACTAATGTATACACTGAGACTCTTAAAGGGTTAGTTCACCCAAAAATGAAAATTAAGTAATTAATTACTCACACCCATGCTGTACCAACCCCGTAAGACCGTATAAGATGATGATCCATATATAAGGCGCTCCGGATTATAAGGAACACTGTCGTTTTTTGAGAAGATTAAAGGCTTTTAAGTGCACCTTGTAGTGCGGAAAATACGCTAATTGAAAAGCGTATGTACAGCGCGCATCTTCCTCTGCTTGTAAACAGAAAGTTTTGCGCTTCCAGCTATATCAGCACATCATCTTATACGGTAGGTGGCTGTAATACTCCTAAGCGGAGCAGCCGGTAACAAAAAGTAGTCGAAGAAGAACGTCCTCGTCTCAGTTCTCGCGCATGCGCCCATAAGGAAGTAATAGAATAGTCGAATTAAGTCGTTATTTATGTTTTTTGCACAAAAAGTAGTCTCGTCGCTTGATAAACTTATAATTGAGCCGCTGTAGGCACATGGAATATTTAAACCTTTTCTTTAATGACTTTATGGGCCGTCAAGAGCCAGTCCCTTAGGCAGTCTATGAAGGACTGATCCAGCTCTCAGATTCAATCAAAAATATCTTCATTTGTGTTCCGAAGATGAACGAAGGTCTTACGGGGTTGGTACAGCATGGGGGTGAGTAATTAATGACTTAATTTTCATTTTTGGGTGAACTAACCCTTTAATGTGAGAAGTGGAAAGTACCACATGTATGACATAAGTTCCATTTTTAAACATAAGCTAAATGTTTTGCTACCAAGGAAGTTGTAAGTCTCTCTGTGATGTTAAACTCAATCTTACTGTAGTACATTAGAGAAACATAAAGGCATGATGGGATGAGAAGACAGAAATCTGTATTGACATCCTCTCATGTAGCCTTATATATCTGTGTTTCTCTCTGTCTGACACATAATAAATATAAATCTCTTTGATAAAGTCACTGGTGTTGCTTCCGTGATTCAACAATAATGGGGGAACAGGATTTATCAAATCTACCAAGACTATGATTTAAAACTTCAGCTTTTTATAATATATATTATATCTTGTGTTTCAGGCACCAGTGGAGTGGATGATGTGTTCATCAGTTCTGGTGTAAATGTCCGTCTGTCCTGTAATAAAACTCTTTCTGACTGCAAATCAACTATATGGATCTACTATAACAGATTCAGACATCCAGCAGCAGTTGAACTGATTACTTTAGGGATAAAGAAGAAAGACACAGAGAGACATGAGAGACTGAGTCTGGAGTCTGACTGCTCTCTGAACATCAAGAACGTCACAGAAGAAGATTATGGATTATACAGATGCAGTCAATATGTGAACGGACTATATCACCAACCAGAAACTGATGCACATGTTTATCTGCATGTTCTTCATGGTAAGTTTATGATTATATGGTCAATTTAAAAAGGGAAGATTCTTTATTAAACTCAGATGATGATTGAAGAGTCTGTGATTTGTGTCTTGTGTTCAGTTTCAGTGTCTCCATCATCATCATCATCATCATCTTCATCCTCACAGACTGAGATCAGTCCAGGCCGCTCTGTGACTCTCTTCTGTCAGTTGGATTCATTTGATGGATTCTCCTGTAATGATTTGGTTCGTTATGATGGAGTTGAGCTGTTGTGGGTGAATCAGGCTGGTGTTGCTCTGAAGACACACTCCAGATATCAGATATCATCATCATCATCATCATCATCATCATCATCATCACATCAGTATCACTGTAACATCACTCTGACTACAACACTCCTGAATGAAGATAACAACAGAGAGTGGAGATGTCAGCTTACTCACAGAAATCAACTCCAGACGTCAGTCACATACACTGTCAAGTATTCAGGTAAGAAACACTGTTAGAAGACAGATTTGAGAAAACTTCCACAGACTGGCTCTACTCTTGATGATGACTTCATACGTTTGGATATTGTAAAATATGTAAGTCACACTGCATAAAAATCCTTATACATGGGTCATCCATGAAATATTGCGTAAATCTATTAAAGCCTAGTATGACCCATGTAGGAGTTCAGCTTTAGGAGTTATAAGGCTTAATAATGTCCTTCATTCAGGAAAGCTGAAGGTTTATGGGAAGCAGCTCAACTGTGTTTCACTCTCATATAAAGCAGGAATAAATGATCCAGTAACATCTCTCTTCTCAACTACTGCCACTGTAAGCTGTGATGATTGAACACAAACTGCATGTCATGATCAATGTGAAGATATGATGTTAATGTCCTACAGGTGATGTGTGTGAACATTCATCTTCTGCAGCTCCAGTCTCTTCAACAACACTGACTCCAGTCAGCAGATCAAACTCTGAGAAGACATCAAGCAGAACTACAGCAACAGCTCCTACACAAGGTTCATGATCACATGACCACTGGCACACATCATCACTCTCGCTTCAGTGGTTTGATCACACCACAGTAAAATCAGCCGGATAATTACATCAATTCAGTATTGAAACCTCAAAGGATATATTGTGCCATGCATTAAAATATGACATATTTCTATTTCCATCTTGTTTTCTAATAGTTGTGACTTCAACTACATCAACTACAGTAACAGCACGTCCCACAGAAACTGCTGGATTATTATACAGAGGTACGACACGTTGATTTAGATTTTAGACCGACAGCTTTCTAACATTACACTATCAGTCCGTCTGTAAATGCTTCATCAATAACTGTTGATAGATGAAGACCCTTGACTTCAGTCATGTCCAGTTTCTCTTCTTCCTCTCATGTTTCCTGCAGTGATTGTGAGTATTGTTGAGATGGCAGTGTTTGCTGCTCCTACTGTGATTCTTCTTCAGATCATCTGTGCAAGAAGAGCTGGTGAGTTTGAGCCGCACACACTCTGAAGATTCACACTCGTCTGATCTGAACATCTGCAATCATGATAAACACACACGAGAGGTCAGGCAATGCTTTATTTTGCAGGGAGGAAGAACTCGAGACACCCGGAGGAAATAGAGATGTCTGCAATACAACAATAAAATACAGAGTTTTGAGCGAATCTGCAACAATAATTATGATTGTAAGATTGTTTGATTTATTTTCTTCCTTCTTGATCATCCTAAAGAAATATTTGGTTCAAGCTAAGATTAAAATTTCTTTTTATTTTTATAAAACGCCAGATTTATTTCCATTTAAATGGGTTTTATGGATATTTCTCTGTAGTGTTGAAAGTCATTTTCTTGTGTTTCATATGTAAACTGCTTTAAATATAACAATAAGTTGAGTAATGGACAGAGGCAGACTGTAATATCAATGATCTGTTCGGTGTGATGCAGCTGATTTGGTGATTGTTTTTTCTTTTTGAATTATTGCTACTCTAAGCATGGAGAGTCTGCTTTTAGCTATTATGCCAGCCGCAGCTGGAACCATCTTCCAGAAGCGATCAGGTGTGCTCCTACAGTAGTCACATTCAAATCCAGACTCAAAACACATCTGTTTAGCTGTGCATTTACTGAATGAGCACTGTGCCACTGTTCGTCCGACTGTTACTGCACTTCATTTTATTCTAAATAGTTTTAATTTACTGTATTTTATTTTTATCATAATTTTTATTTTTCATTATTTCTTATTTTTTATTCTAAACTGTTTTAATTATTCTGATTTATTTTGATTATTTTAATTTCTTCTATGTAAAGCACTTTGAATTGCCATTGTGTATGAAATGTGCTATATAAATAAACTTGCCTTGCCTTGCCTACTTATTTTCTTAATAAAACCTCTGCATTTGTGTGTTAATATGTCTCCTTTCCTGAGGATGTCTTTTCCTTGTGATGAGCTCGTAATATATTGTAATATAGGAAACTAAGTGTGAGTATTAAACTATACTGGGGCATAAGGACCCACACAGATTATTGGGTGAGCAGCGCCCCCTGCTGGCCTCACTCACAGCAGCCCTAGTTTCCCAGGAGTCTCCCATCCAGGTAATGACCAGACTCAACCCTGCTTAGCTTCAGTGGATGACCAGTCTTGAGTTACTGGGTGATCTAGCTGTGACTAACTTACACAGAGTAGACTTTGTTTCTCAGCACATAAAATCCCCAATGTTAAATCAACACTGAAAAGTGAGAATTATATCAACTCTGAGCAGAGTGTTAAATGAACATTGAAGCTGTGTTAAAGTTAATGGGATAATTAAGTGAATATTTGAGTGATGATTGAGCATTATTGAAGACACCTGATGTTAACAAGCAGAATCACTGAAGGGGAAAATCGTCATCGGTATGTTACCATTATGGAGATCAGTGTTTGCTTTAGTTGGGCTCTTCACATTGTGTTTGGCTGCTGTACCTAAGTTATATCAGCTAGATGAACAAGAGAAAGGGTTATTGCTGTGTTTACACACATGTGTTGAAAAGCATGTGTACACAATGTTTTAAACAAGTGAATCATGTAATCACACACAGATATCAATATTAAATATGATTCACAACAATGGTGACAACCAAAACAAAAAAGCTTGGGAATCAAGGATGTTTTGTACTATGAAAGCTACCCATCATGCATTGCAGCATGAAGCTTATTTTTTATTTTTTATTGTCACCATTGCTGTGATTCATATGCAAAATCTTGATGTCTGTGTTACTATATGGTGATTTTTTTTTAAAGAAAACATTGTGTAAACATGCTTTTTTATCCACCTTGTGGTCATTTTAGTGCTACTAGCCCAACTAATACAGTGCCACCCCAGACAGCAAACTGACATTGAATCAACGTGGAAACGACGTCTCTCATGACATCGAAACAATGTTGATCTGGCATTGTTTTGCTCATCGAAGTAACGTTGAACCAACGTCAGACGCAGCATTCTTCAAAGCTAAATGAAAATTGGTAATTGGTTTGCAATTGGTTTGCTTTCCTAACATTGAAACAACGTTGATTTCAAGTTGATTTTCCGTTAGTTTTGAAGAATGACGCGTCTGACGTTGGTTCAACGTTAATTCTCTGTGACTTTCGTGAAGACGCGAGGGGACAGGGACAACCCGAAGGGTAAGACCTTGTACTGATATGCTTGACCCTTGAATGCAAAGCGCAGGAACGGCCTGTGTCGAAGAAGAATCGAGACATAAAAGTACGCGTCCTTCAGGTCGACCACTGCAAACCAATCTCGGGGACGGATGCAGATCCAAGATCGGTCGTAACCCACCACCTTTCTTGGTACAATGAAGTAGGGACTGTAGTGCCCTGACCTCATATCAGCTGGAGGGACCGGATCTATCACATCCTTCACCAGTAGGACTGCAATCTACGCACACAAGACATGGGCATCGCTCTCACTGTAGTGGAGTCTCACTGTAGACTTGGGGGGATGCCGGGCGAACTAAATGGCATAGCCGAGCCTGATGGTTTGAATGAGCCATTGAGACGGACTGGGGAGCTCTAACCAGGCTCGCAGAGACCGTACAAGCGGGACCAGGAACCGTAGGTGTACCCGGAGTGGGGCAGCGATGTGAAACACAGGGACTCACTCTGGGAGGCAGCCCACAGCTGGGTCTGAGTGTGCTGTGGCGTTCTCGAACTGCACACTGCTGCCCGCTGGCGATAGAAGAGGCGAATGAGAGTGGTGAGGATTTTCTCCCCCCACTGCTCTTCAGACCCAGAGATGGTGGAAAGTTTCTAGAAACTGCTCTTTAATTGAGAATTTGGGCACCGCTGGTTTTAAAGGGTTAGTTCACCCAAAAATGAAAATTCTGTCAGTATTTACTCACCCTCATGTTGTTCCAACCCCGTAAGACCTTCGTTCATCTTCGGAACACAAATTAAGATATTTAAGATATTAAGATCGCTCCTATATACTAGTCCATAGGCTTCTTGAGGGAATGACACTTGCTGGCATTGAAAAGTTATTAAAGGACATCGTTAAAATAGTCCAAATGACTACAGTGGCTCAATATTAAGTTTATCAAACGACGAGAACATTTTTGTGCACAAAAACAACAAAAATAACGACTTTATTTCAACTATTCGTTTATTTCCCCCTCTGCGCGAGTCAGGTTACTAGTTTAATAGCGTAAGCTTCTGTTATTGTACGTCACACGCATCACACACATGACCAGCGTCGACCAATAGTGAGCCTTCGTGTGACGTAACTTTACACAATCACAATACGTTAACTGACTACAGGCTGATGGAGAAGGAAGTGAATAGTTGAAATAAAGTCGTTATTTTTGTTTATTTTTGCGCACAAAAAGTATTCTCGTCGTTTGATAAACTTAAAATTGAGCCCCTGTAGTCACTTGGACTATTTTAACGATGTCTTTAATGACTTTTCGATGCCAGCAAGTGTCATTCCCTCAAGAAGCCTATGGACTGTATGCAGGAGCGATCTTAATATCTTAATTTGTGTTCCGAAGATGAACGAAGGTCTTACGGGGTTGGAACAACATGATGGTGAGTAAATACTGACAGAATTTTCATTTTGGGATGAACTAACCCTTTAAGGCCAGCGCCAGAACAAACAAAATGAAACAAAGGATTTTCCACCCGGCCCTCTTCCGGAGGAGGGAGCGATGCAGTCATCGTCTCCTGGAGAGCAGTCCCTTCCATCTCTGGGTTGCCCGTCCTGGGGCTGCTTACCCCTGGCTTTGCCGCCCTTCTTGGCAGGGTCTGGACGGGCGCTCCTGGTGTATGCCTGGCAAATCCGCCGTTATATTAGCAATCCGCCATCTCCCATCCAGGTAATGACCAGACTCAACCCTGCTTAGCTTCAGTGGATGACCAGTCTTGAGTTACTGGGTGATCTAGCTGTGACTAACTTACACAGAGTAGACTTTGTTTCTCAGCACATAAAATCCCCAATGTTAAATCAACACTGAAAAGTGTC